AAACAAGGCGGAAGGATGGATTCGACGTTCTATACACACGAACCATGACGCATTGCTTTGTTGCCACGAACATTCAACAAACAATGAGAGAGATGAAACCGTACCCGCCGTGCATGCGTTTTCCAAAAAAGAAAAAAAAAAACAAGTGATGGATGGAATGAAAAAAGAAGACCATGCATCGTTGCGAAGATAAAAAAGAACATCACCCATTAAGAAATTTCGCTGCGCTACCAATGCACACCGTCTACTACGCATGCCACCTCTGAACAGTGGCAAGCTAAAATCCAGCGAAAAAGAAAAAAAGTTGCCAATAAGACTTCCACATGGCGTCCTGCCCCGAACACAGTCATCAACGACCAGAAAACAACAGTTGTACGACGATCGCTCCCACGGTACTCAAACAAACCCCGCACGCTCATGGTGTCCTTCCCCGAACACAGTCATAAACGATGCCACAAACACTTTCTCCCCCGTGAGCCCTCCCGCGTCCCGCCTCACTAAGAAACCCCCCCTAAAACACCCCCTCCCCCCATCCTCTTGTACCTGCCATCTCAACAGGGCCTGCGCATCATCCCCTCCTCGCCTTCGCCATCACCGTCGTCTACGTGTCACCCCCCCTCGCCTTTGTCATCGCCTTTGGCGTCGTCGTNACAGGGCCTGCGCATCATCCCCTCCTCGCCTTCGCCATCACCGTCGTCTACGTGTCACCCCCCCTCGCCTTTGTCATCGCCTTTGGCGTCGTCGTCGTCGTCCTCGGGGGGACCTGTCCCCAGCCAATCCAGCCGTTTCGCCTCCATCGGGGAGGCCAACGTGGCGTCGTGCGAGAAAGTGACCCCGCACTTAGACGCCCAATCGGGGATGTACGCAGGTGGGGGGGCGAAGGTCAGAGGCAGTCTCCCCAACTTGTCCGTCATGACCTGCGCGGATTGCGTGATGTGTCGGCGGGCGTCGAACTGTCGGTTCATGGACGCCAGCAGCGTCGTCTTTGCCGTCAGTTGAACGAAAACCCAAGCGTCGTAATGCGATCTCGGATCGTCCCCCGCCATTCGCATAATCCACATCGTGGCGGCGAGCAAATACCTTATCGCCTCTGCCATCCCCTTCAGACGCTCGTACGACACTCGACCGCCGTCCATAGCTTCTGTCGTGCCAACTGCGCTTGTAAAATCCTGCACCAGACGCTGGACACAAGCTTCCTGGTAAGCCGCGCACTCATCGTCCTCGTGCCTGTCCACTATGTTCACTCCCACGAACCACAAAGGCAACTTCATGTCTACGTCCAATGTGGCACGGAACAACATTGGGCTCACCAAACTGCGCCAGTCCTCTGCTGACCACATTGCTCTGGCGATGTCCGTGGCAGCGTGCTTCAATGCGTATTGGTATGCCAAGTGATACCCCCTTTGCCTGCTCTCCGACTTGAAGACCCAACCGTGGATCGCCCTGAGGGAGATTGTCTGCACTTTCAACGCCCTCTCTTTCGCCGCGTTCAGCTCCGACTCGTCCTCGATTTTGTGTTGGGGGATGGAGTTGTGTGGAAGGGAGATGCTCCGTCGAATAGCCGGAGGCTGCCCTCCCCGCGTCACGGCCACGAGATACGTGCGCACTTCTTGGATTATCCTGACTATGGCGCTCCCCTGCGTGTCGTTCCAGAATCTGTTGTCATCCTCCCAAAGTTTGGCGGCGGCATCCATCGCATGTGTCGCCGCTCGTTGTCCGCGCAGCCTGTGCACTAGAGCCTCGTCGTCTTCCCCGGCCGCCACGCCATCTCCTCCCTTCGGGACTTCAACCGCCTCTCCCGGGACCGCCACAGCGCCACCGCGCGCCGCCACCGCGGGAGATTGCAACGTCCCACCTTCAACCGCTGCTTGGGAACTCCCCGCCACGTCTGCAGCTGGGGTTCGGGGGCGATTCAAAGGCGCAAGCACACATTGCGGAGTCTCATGCGAGGCGGCCCCTTCCTTCGCGCGGCCACCGACGTCCCTCCTTGCCACGTCTCGCGCCACGTCGCGTGCCACGTCGACAAACACTGGTTGGTTGGCCGCGGCAACGCCACCGCCGCGCCGCGCGGTCGGTGTCCCTTCCCCCCCCTCGTTTATTCTAACCCCCCCCGCGGAGCTGACCCGCGCCTTCCTCTACAGTGGTTCATCGTCGTCGTCTTCAAAGTCGTCGTCGTCGTTCGTCATCTCCTTCTCCACCACAGCCTCCTCCACAACGTCTCGCGCACTGCCAGCGGGCACGGCTTGGACGACCTTCCTCTGCCTCTTCGCTTGATGTCGTCCCTTCTTCGCGGGGACCACGCCTTCCACGATCTGCTTCAAGGCAGCCTTCCCCCGTCCAGCTCCGCGGGAAGACATGGCGGATCCGAAAAAAGCGCCTTCGATCGCGATCGGTGGTTCGCACAGCTTGCGGACGAGTGCACCGTGCGGCAGCTGGATGATTGCAGGGCGGCGAGAATGGAAGATAGAGAATGGAACAGAGGACTATGATTACACGGATGGATTACAAGGTGGCGAATGACGGGCAGGGCGACGACGAATGACTGCAAGGGCGACGTCGACGAATGGCAGCACGACGAACGACGGCAAGGGCGGCGATGACGAGCGACGACAGGTGACGACAGCGCGACGACGACGAATGACGACAAGACGATTGGCGGACGACAGAGATGGCAGTTAGCGATCGGCATCGCAGATGGGTACCTGGTCGACGACGACAGTGCCCGTTAACCAAGTTGCGCGGCGGGCGCAGGCGATGGCACAACAGCGCGCGAAAGGCAGAGAAGAGCGCGGCAAGAAAGCAGTCCACTGCAGTGCTCGCAATCCATGCGCGCGCTCGAAATGCGTTTGGGGATGAGTGGCCCGTGCTCGTGATTTATTGAGCGCGGTGGACGGTGGCTGGGAGTGATGACACGGCGATCTTTCGATGAAAGTGCGACGAGTACTCTCGCCGGACGACGATGGCCTGGAGCACACTGTCGACGGGGAGTGGGAGTGCGATGTGACACCCTCCGTCCACGCAGGCTTGAAAAAAATGGATATCCCCGTGGACAATGGA